CCGGTCCGCGGACCGGGGGTTGGGGACCACTGTCATACAGGTTCCAGTTGTTCTATCGTCAGTTTCTTTGATTCACAAAAGCAGTGCATATTTTTTTAAAGGCTCTTAATGGTATTGTCTCCTTTTCGATAAGGAGGAATGCAAGCCTGACCTTCCTTTTGCTCTATCCATTTGTAGGCGGCTTCATTCCAATTATTTATACTGCGATTGTCACCTGGCATGGCTTTCAGATTGGCTGCGCCAGAGGCGATCGGTTGGACAATTCACCTTCTGCATGGCACCTGTTCACCTGAGAGGGTTCAATGTAGCTGATGTTCAGAAAAAAGAATATGTCTGTACAGGTAATACCCCATTATTTCACATTCTTCTCTCATTTTGTACTAGTCTTCACATTAACTTGTAATAAACTACTGTAATGCTGGTCCTTTTAAATGTCACTTTGTGCCAATTCCAATTCAGTCATGCCTCAGTTAAATAGAGCAATAATATTTTAAATTACTGTGATTTGTTCCTAGGCTTTCTGAACTGTTGGACTGTGTTAATGATTTTATACTTAGGGTTTTTTTCCCCCAAATGTTCAGATCATATTAATGTAAAAGGCTAATTACCAAATAATATAATCACATTTCTCAAGAGAATGCCTTCTGAGCTTTATGTCTGACTTGAATACAAATGGAATAAATTAGGAAATGTATGTAAAGTTCTGGCATTCAATTTAATGCATAGTGGATACATATTGTGACAAAAGAAAGGAGAATATAATCCCTGCACAACACAATTGTGATCTTTATTTTAAACTGATTTTGAAATCATACTAAAGTTCAGGACTAGCTTACTATGCAAATGTGAATAATTTCATGCTGCTTAAGGAATGTATATAAAGTACACAAACTGGTGTATAGGATTCTGATATTTCTAGGAAGTGCAAAAACCCATACATGATCATAGAACTTCTCTGTAGTGGTGCTCTTCTTTTAGCGTTCTTGATAAACCTTTTTTAATAACTGATGGAACAGAATTGCTTATTCTTCTGTGCCTGCATTCATTTCTTTTCCAATACATCCTAAGTCATGTTGAAAGATCAAAAGAGAGATGACAACTTTTTTCAATCACACTTTTGCTAACAATATCTCAAGTGTCAAGGCCATGAATTCTCAATGGAAAATCTGACATTTCAGAAACATACAGTAAAAAGATCCCAATAATTCTCTTTTCTTTTATCCAGAGACAAATACACTCTTGATATATCAGGCAAGGTTGTAGAGTTTCAGGTTTTTCATCTTTAGGGAATTGAGACTATATTTCAGTTGATGGTTTTCATAACCACATATATACATAGAAATATATTTTCTAATCTGACCTATTATTGCTTTTTTTCAAAGAATTTTTCAGGGATATCTGTTAATGATATTATCTTCCAATAATATATTCACAATGTTTTTGGGGAATGACTGTTTTGTGTGGGAGAGATGTTTAATGAATGCTTGTTTTGTAAATCAGTATTGCCTTAGTAATTAAAAAGAAAACTTTCAAGCACTGTGCACAAAACTATACCCATCTCAATAAAAAAAAAGTATTATCCAGCAATAAATAAATAAATGCTTTAAACAAACAACTAGATAAGCAAACCCTACAAGAAATAGTATCCTTTCTTTAAGTTTAATATGTTGACTGGTGTATGTTATGTATAGTTGTGTTTTACTTAGAAATGTGATTTTAGATAGTGTTTATAAAAGTTAAACATACATGAATAAATGGGATATATCAACATTCTAATTGAAACAAAGGGAATAAAAAGATTATGTTTTAAAAATAATTTGGAACTTAATGGTATCAATATTCTAATGACCTTCATATTTCTGAATAGTATTTCTAGGAAAAAGGGGAAGTGTTAATTCAGGAGATACAGCCATAAGCCATGGCTTAAAATGACTTTAAGACACTGATGCTTCCCCCAGGTTTGTCTATGTGAGGCTGCCTTTAGATCTAGTCTGCAAATTTCAATTGATATAGGCCACATTGGATTCTAATTCATTTCCAGATGAAGTATAAATTTCACATTGTTTTTCTTGGATCCAGATTATTTAATCAAACACTTGATGTATTAGTCTCTTCCATATCACTTGAAAACATCTGGAGACTGACTAGGAACAGCTTGGAATCAAGATTTTTCAATGTCAGCCTTGGTTTTGGAAACTTCCTATTGAATTGAAGGAACTGGTATCCTTACTGACTTTTCAAAAGGCTTTCAGAATTCATTTTTTTATAAAAGTTAAACCGTTGGTTTTTCATATTAGATTAATTTGTTTAGGGTTTTTTAATTAACAAACGGCAGTAGAATTTTATGGCAGAATCAATTAAAAAACAGTACTTTGTTCCTTTCTTAAAATACACAATGCAGTCCTCAACAGACATGAAGATATTTTGAAGAACAGAATCTGGAGTCTAAGATGATTATTAAAATTAATCTTAAAAATATGTAGAATGGTTCCTGTGTTCTTGAGGTAGACATGCATTTAAGATTTTGTTTGATTGCATTGCTAACTATTGTATCAACTGATATACAGTATCTCTGATAATGGAACCATATCACTTGTGGAATACTTTCCTCCTTTCTCTACACTGGGGCTTCTCCAGATTGGCTTCAGGAGCATGTCTGGAAAAAATACACTGAAGGAAGCAGCAGGAAAGAAAATAAAATAAAGCTTGGACTTAAAACTGTAATTAATTCATTTACATAAAATGGCATACAATATTTAAATGACAATAAATTTGCAAGGCAGGCTTCTCTCTTTGATAGCTTTTCATAACATTTAAAGGTGATGATCAGTAGGACTACCAATAACACCACTCAGGCTAATCATTTTTAGTGTTAAAAAAAAGCCCACTACATTTCAAATTTTGATTTCTTTTCCATTTCAGGTTCACATGCTGAACCACCATCCTGCAATGCCAATTCTGTCAATTGCCCATCTGCTTGCACTTGCAGTAACAATATTGTGGACTGTCGAGGAAAGGGCTTAACTGAACTTCCAGGCAACCTACCAGAAAATATTGTGGAAATGTAAGTATCTCAATTCTAGTGCCCCAATGTAAAGTTCAAGGTAGTCCAACCCTACCCTCCCAAATACTGCTAGCTTCCAATTTAACCTGTTTCCATTAAAATAGTCAAAATAAAAATGTGAAGCTTGCAAGAAAGAAAGAAAAAAAATCAGTCTTCAGCAACATTTATAATATCCAAGAATACTTCAGAAGTAAACCATCAGCTTCCTTATGAAATAAATAATATAGGTATCTGGAGACCATAATCTTACTGGGGGAATGCCCACATATTCAGATACAGGACAAAGTTAAGCAATATTTATGTAGATTTTTCCAGATGTTCTATTAAGTTTGTATTTATGTTTTTATACTATTTGTGAATCAGCAACATTTTGCAAAAAGTCTTGTAAATTTTTCTTAATTTAAATTGTTCTCTTACAAAAATAGTTAGGAACGCCTTCTTTTGTTTCCTTTTCTCTGATAGTGTAATTCAGTCCAAGAGAGAAATGTCATGTACACCATGTTCTTGAAGGCTATATAGTAGAGGCAGTATCCATTTCCAAGAGGTTATACTTCATTTTAAATATTACTTTTAATGCTACATAGAGTCAACATAAATTTTAAAAAAGACCCTCAGTAATAAACCAGTTTAATAAATCAACAAACTTAATAAATCATCTTTTTGCTATCATCTGCCTTTAATGTTTACACAGTATTGTAGTCAATCACTTAGGGTTTATTTTTAAAGCAAATAAAGATTTTGTGCTGAAATTTTAGAGTAGAATAAGAGAACATTTTCATTTTCATTTAATTCCTAATATGTATTTTTTCTACATTCTAGTCTTCAAGCATTATCATATAAAAGCAGCAAAAGTTGCTTGGTAGAACTGTCATTCCCATACAAGAACAATCTGCTCCTTTCCTATTCAAAAATGTTGCTTTGAAATACAAATAACACATCAGTTGCTAAGTTAAATTATTAGCATTCATAATTTAAACATTCAGAGTGATTTTAGTACTTTTTTTAATCAGTTGCTAGTTTCAAAGAGCTGTTAAAAATTTGTGTGAATGTTTGCTATCCAGAAACTAATTATGCTATTTGCTTAACTGCATTGATATTAAACAAAAAACAAAATATAATAGTTTTAACACTCAGAATGAATTTACATGCATTTACCTGCAACATGCATGAAGTTACATGGAACATAGTTACTACTATAGAGAAAATCAAGAACATGAAAAGCAAGCTGAAGATCTAACCTAAATTCAATGTTATATTCTTATATTCCCTAATCCATGAAAATGAACTTGGGTGAAAATACTAAAAATTCAGTTAAATTCATACATCTTTAGTATTTTCACCCAATTTTATTTTCATGGATTAGTGAATATAAGAATATAACTTTGAATTTAGGTTCAGCTTGCTTTTCATGTTCTTGATTTTTTCTATAGTGATAAGTATAACACCGTTGCGACCAAGATTATCCTGCTTTTTGAGAGAAAGGCAAAACAAAGAGATGGATCTGTCAAAATAACTACAATTAATTGAAATATCTGTATTGTGTGTGTGTGTGTCTGTGTCTGTGTGTGTGTCTGTGTCTGTGTTTCATTTCTTAAAACATATGGACTTCAGTGCCTCTCATTATTCTTTTTATGTTAAAGGTAATAGAGATTTGTGGATTTTTCTCTGGAACATAAGACAGTTGTTTTTTGGATTATATTCATCTACTGCACAGCATGCTTTTATAATAATATGGAATAATGCATGTCAAATTCTGTTTCTTTGATTTAGTCGCATATAGAGTTGAAAGCAGGTATTCATTCATATATCTCTCTTGTGACTAGCTATATAGTGAGTTTTCAAACTTGGCAAATTGACATGCTAAAATGTTAAATAAATATATGTGATCACTTACTGATAAATAAAATCAGTGATTTAATTAATGTTTAGGGTTGACCCAAAAGCAATTATAATGCTTATTTTTAAGGATTAAATTCAGAATGACTTATTAGAGAAAACAATGATAGAAATTGGCTCAACATGTTAGTAAATCACAGGTTTCCAGGTACTTGACCTAAATTTAATTCCTTGATTTGCCATTGCAGAAGACTCAATTGACCAAAGCTCCGATGGCTATTAAGGAGATAGAAGATTGCAACCTGAAATATAAGTGAACTAAATGTTAAATGAAATGAACTGATGAATTAAATGAAAGAAAATAAAAATCGATACAGTAGACCGTCAATTAAGTAAAACATTTGTGGGGAGCCATTTATATCCTGCTTCTTCTTTTTCTTTAAATGACCATTGTCTTTTGCAGGATATTCTATCACTTATTTTGCCATTTGATTAACCTTTTACTTAGGTTAAAGAGGTTGTTCTAGAGTTCTTAAAGCTTTCCACCCTAAATATTGTTCACAAACTTATGCACTACTTTCCTCAAAGATAATAAGCTCAGAAAAACTATTGGCAGCAGAGATCCCTAAAGAACCAATATTTTATTTTATTTCCTTCGTGTTTAGAAATTTGTTCATTTATTCTTTCTTTTTGCTTGTTTATTTTTTTCCTACAAGTTAACAGATTATAGAAGTACAGGTGTTCTTAGGACCACTATGTTCACACAAAAATTTGGACGACATTGTTAAAAACATTTTTTTGGTAAAATTGAAGTGTTGACATTTTAACTCCAAACTATTTTGTCCTTTTAAAGGCCATTGTAATAAGAAATCAAACAATCACATTAAATTGAATATAGAATGGTTCCCCCCAATATTTGTTATTATCAAAATATTAATTTATATAAAGTGGATTGTCTACTGAGGCACCAGATAGAAAGCTTTAGTGATTGCACTGCTTATCATTTGTAATAACATCTCAAAACAGAAATCCCTAGGTCTACAACCAGTTATTTCAATGGCACATTTAAAAAGATATAGCTATTGCTGCTTTCATACGTTATACTGTTTGCATTTGGTATAATTGATTATTGGTATTTTGATTTTTTCAGTATCTAAAGGATAACTTCCTTATAATGTATAGCAACATATGGAAGTAACTAAGCTACATGAAAAGATATGTTTCTTATTGTTGCTTTATAGTTAATGTAAAATCTACTATTTAAATGTCTTCTTTGAAAGAGCAGTGTTTGATAAGTATTGTCAGAATCAGTTGTTCATATCCAATGGATAGTATCTCTGATTTGATTGGCAAGAATGTAGCATAATGTGTATTTTTGTTTGATACTTTCATATTTTTTGCCTCGGTATTTAGCCTTATTTCCAGAAAAAATGCAACAGTTAAGTGATATTATCCTAACTAGCAGTTATCTACTGAAGGCGATTGCATAGAGAAATGTGTTTTGATTGTTCTTTTCCACAGTGGAAATATCTGTTTTCTGTTTTTTTATTATTATTCTTTTGTGGTGTTAATTAGCTCCTTATTAGTGCTTAGTGACTTTTTAGTTTATGAAGATATTAAGAAATGCCAAGTATAAGTGTGTACCTCTATTTCATGAATGTGTGCACACATAAATACATACACATAGACAGTAATATAACTTTTGAACGTTCCAAAAGAAGTTGCAACTTGATTCTTCTGCATTAACCTCACAAGACAAAGCAGCACCATGGAAAGCTCCCAGTGATTCCATCATGTCTTTTGCTCTCAAGATCCATCATCTCAAATCAAGAAGGGAGATTCCTCAAAAATTAGTAGACATTTTTTCTTCTGCCTTCTTTTTTGTGGCCTCACACATTCCTATCAACTTTAGACAAATATAGTAGAACTCAAGGATAGGCATTCATGATGATTCTCAGCACATCTTTCTGGTATAAATATAACAGAAACTCAGTCATTTAAAAAAATACTTTAGTGAAAAGTTTTACAAATTTTTTGCAACACTAAGCAATAAGGCCAACTAAACTTAGAAGTAAGAATAAAAAATATTAAAAAGGTAATACAAAATGCAAAGAAAAAAAAGAACAAAGAACCAAAAAATTAAAAGGTATTTTTTTTAAAAAAACTCATCCCTCTTCTTACAAGCATAAGCAAATTATTTTATTCATCCGTACTATATGATTAGACACATTATTTACTTCTGCCTTGCCCTGTTTATCCAATTACAAATCCAAAAATTATTCAACAAAGCCATACAAGGGCTCTAGAATATTACAGTTACTAACTACTTTCTTAACACCCTTTTTGGGTGAGACTGCTAGACAGTCTATGTTTAGGATCCCTGCTTTAACAAAATCTTAAATTTATTCTTTTGGAAAACCTGCAGTGAAAAAAGGTAGGCTCACACACCATACCAAGACATAAAGTGCAATTATGAAGCATAACTGTTCAGTTTAGACAGTGTAGCATGATAAAGTATGAACTTATCCAATGCTTATTTTCAAGTCTAAGCAAAACGTAAAAGAAAATGCTTCTGAAAGTTCTAGTCAGCCAGTCAGGCATGTCATCCTCTGAGTAATAAAAATTAAAAGGTCCTCAGAAGAAAACATTCTCTATACCTCAGTCTAGATATTTTCTTTTCTATCACAATCAACATTCATGAATACTGAACACATTCAGTTGTTCAGGGAAAGGATTTACTGCTCCTGTACATCATCAACCTACCAACAGACTGATTTTGTTTTACAGCTTAGTGAACATTGACTGAGCAACCATCTATTATTAATCAATTAACAAAATATCTTTACAGTTAATAAAAGTGTGGTAAGAAGCCAAGTTATTTGTTATTTGATAAATATTTAAACATTGAGAAGAAAAGTCTTGATACTAGTATTAAGTAAATTATTTAGAATAAAATAGAATTCTTTATTGTTCGAGTGTGATTGGACACACAAGGAATTTGCCTTTGGTGCATATACTCTCAGTGTACATAAAAAGAAAAGATACATTCATCAAGAATCATTAGGTCCAGCACTTAATGATAAACACAGGGTACAAATAAGCAATCAGGAAACAATCAATATCCATATAAATCGTAAGGATACAAGCAACAAAGTTACAATCCTGCAGTCATAAGTGGGACGATATGAATGATGTGAAGACTAATAGTAATAGTAATGCAGTCTTAGTGAATGGTCCCTCACAATGGTGAGGGAATTATTTGTTNATTTCAAGAAATAGAAGTACAGGTTTTGGCATCATATGAGTTTTTATTAATTAAAAGGTGTTTATATTTTGGTGAATTTTCATAAAAATATTCTAAGCTTTATCTTGGCTATTTCAAATCGATCAGTAAATGTGATAAGCTGATAAGGTCTTCTGCCATTTTCCTTTTAGTTTAATTTAAAAGGTAGCCTTGTATGTCGTTCCCTGGAGACTTATATTGACTAATTCCCTTTTACTGTAATTAAAGGAGAAAACAGAGAGGGAAACCATTAATGGGATTTCAAAGAGAATTTTTATATTGAATCTTAACAATTACATTTTATGAAACTTGAATGCTGACACAAAGGGATATTCTAGAATTTTAATTTAGGCTGTAACTAAATACACACCTTTAGAAATTACAAACTATATTCATTCATCTTTTGTTTGCTATAAATACAGTCACATTCATTTTAAAAGGGCTCTTTGAATACATGTATGCTGTCAAATAATTTATGAAGCTTCTTAGCAATCTTTCTCTTAATGAAAATTGTAAGACCTGAATGATAATAAAAAGGTTAGATTTTTCATTTTAGGTTTCATCTATTTTATTGCAGTCTATAGTGTTCATCAGACCAAAACCAAAACAAACAAACAAAAAAGATGTGGCTAATAATATTTCCATTTAATGTCACATTTTACCATCAATTTCAATCTTTCATGTTTTAAGAAATACATCATTATGGCTGGGCTGGAAGATACAATACTTTATTTAATTTCAAGCTCATTTGAAATTAAAGAAAACTGTATAATAACATTGCAACACAATACATGTGTCTTGCTATGATTAATCTATTATTCTATGGCTTTTCTAATTTATTTTGTTGTTGTTTTGTTTTATGGATTTGTTTAAATATCCTCATTTAGAACTAATAAGAATTGCTGTGCATTGATCTGCTTTCATTTCCATGAGAAAGCTATATTTATAGAATTTATTAACCTGCATTCATTTTGTCTCATTTTATTAATATTGACTTCCCTGTTGTATTTGCCGTAATGAATGACTTCAGAAATATTATAATGTCCTCGTCTGATGATTAAAAGAAACCCAAACAATTCTAGTACACATATATTGGAGAAGTCTTTTCCAGTTGCTCCTTATTATAGTTTTATATTTCTACAAGATAGTTAAAGCTTTACAGATTGTTTTCCACTGGTTGGTCTCAGGGGAAACTTTCTAAATGCACTCAATATGTTGCAGAATTCCAACAGAAATGATATGGCTTAAAACCAAGAATGCAGCCTGGGTACTGAGCATAGAGAAAGAAAAATGCTAAAAAAATTAAATAAAAATCATACTAGTTTTATATAACTAGAGAACTGCCAGATAAATGCATTCAGTGTTCATTACTGACAAGTATAATAACTCTGGTCTGAGTAATAAATCCATTATTTAAAGCAGATCAATTACAGTAAATATGCATAGTTTGTACTGTTAATTGGCTCAGTAGCTGCTAAATATTTTTATTTTTTGTAAAAAAAAAACCACTAAGTTTGAATGTGAATCTCAGGGACTAGTCTTTTCTCATTCTCTCCAGAGCTTGTCTTGTCTTTCATAAACAGATATATAGGATTTTTATAGTGGGTGTGCTGTAGTGGTACTAGTATTTGAGCTTAATATTATGGATAACTGTTAGATGACAGTGAAAAGATAAAGAAAAATCTAACTTCATTTTTTTTTTACAGCTAGCTAGCTGACATACTTTGCCTTGCCAGTCAGGACCTCAGACTTTATTGAGCCTAGCAAGGACATAAATTTTGGAAGCTTCCCAGGAAAAAAATATATGCCTGCAGGCCATCAGCAAACATACAAATCTAGAGACTGTCAGTTTAGGCACCGCTGCTGAACTCAACAGCAGTGGCCTGGCATAAAGATCTTTGAAATGATTAATTTATTTTGTGGATGGATCGGGCTATGTTTTACAGCACTTTATGTTTGTCAGCGATCTATGTAATGTTAGTCTGTCAGAATGATGGCTTTGTTTAACCCTGTCCAAAAGAAATGGCAGCATTGTCATGGGAACTGTGCTTTTAATGCCTGCCTGTCATGACTCATAGAGTAGAAATGAAATATTTGATAGTTTATTTGCACTTTCAAGCTACTTTGTTTTTTTTAACAGAACTTTTTTCTAGACAATGTGACAAACTGAGTGCAATTTTACAAGACAAAAGGGCTACAATATCAAAATGTCATTTATATTCTGTAAGTAAGAAGTTGTTAAAACATGAGGCCCAATACAATACAATAGCAGAGTTGGAAGGGACCTTGGAGGTCTTCTAGTCCAACCCCCTGCCTAGGCAGGAAACCCTATACCATATCAGATAAATGGCTATCCAACATCTTCTTAAAGACTTCCAGTGTTGGGGCATTCACAACTTCTGGAGGCAAATTGTTCTACTGATTAATTGTTCTAACTGTCAGGAAATTTCTCCTCAGTTATGAGTTGTTTGTCTCCTTGATTAGTTTCCACCCATTGCTTCTTGTTCTGCCCTCAGTCCTTTGGAGAATAGTTTGACTCCCTCTTCTTTGTGGCAACCCCTGACATATTGGAACACTGCTATCATGTCTCCCCTAGTCCTTCTTTTCATTAAATTAGACATACCCAGTTCCTGCACCCATCCTTGTACCTTTTTAATATTATGCATAGAAAAGGGAAAGATTTAATCTGGATGGCATATAGTTAGGGTCCTGTGAGTAACAACAAATAAGCAAGGGTATTTTTGATAATTTTGTGCAACTCTTTGCACACTTCCCATAATGATTCAAAAGTTTCCAGGCCTCTGAGAAAAAAATCAAAGGATTGGGTAGAGTGTGAGACAAAGGAAGAATTCAAATGTTTGCC